ACCAGACTGACCTGAAGTCATAGAGATCCGCCTGCCTCTGCCTCCCGAGTGCTGAGATTAAAGGCACATGCCGCCACTGCCTGGCTACAGTAAACTTCTATATAAAAAAAAAAGGTTATTTGATCATTCATATGATTCTACTTTTTTTTTTTTTTGGTTTTGGTTTTTCGAGACAGGGTTTCTCTGTGTAGCTTTGCGCCTTTCCTGGAACTCACTTGGTAGCCCAGGCTGGCCTCGAATTCACAGAGATCCGCCTGCCTCTGCCTCCCGAGTGCTGGGATTAAAGGCGTGCGCCACCACCGCCCGGCTGATTCTACTTTTGAGCCAAAGATTTTTCTACTTGGAGTGTATCCCGTAGTTACGTTAACATGTGTGCACATATGTGGATGTGTGTACATATCATATTCATGCTGATGCTCCTACACAAAAATATGACTGGTTACTCCAGCATTATTATTCACAATGGCCAATAGACCATGGGCAAATTCAGCACCTTGGTGGTTTGAATGTTGCCATAGACTCAGGTGCTTGATTGCTTAGTTCCCAGCTTGTGGCTCCGTTTGCGCCAATCTAGGAGGAGCAACCTTATTGGAGGAAGTATGCCTTGGGGGCGGTCTTTAAGGCTTCAAAGCCAGGTGCTATTCCAGTTTGCTTTTTCTAGATCATTGAGGCGGTCCTGGGCTGTGTGGACTCCTGTGAGGTCGGCAGTTCCCTTACGTTAGAGATGCCATCTTGCTGCCCCCAAATCAAGAACATTGTAGAAGGCCAGGGGTCCCGGTCTTGGGCACGTATGACTCTTTGCTTTGGCATTTGTTCCGGGGCTATTTCCAGATTCAGGAGAGCATCCTTATACAGTCACAAGCCGGGAGTGCGTCCTCAGAAAGGCCTGGTTCTGCTTTGGGAAGTGATGCTGGGGAACTGGGCATCAAAGCTTACTGTGCTGTTTCTTTGGGAGAAGTTTCTGGAAGTGGAAACACCGAGTCAAAGACCATGAATACATTTAAAGCTTGGGATTAAAAAAGCAACGGTCATGGGGAGCACTCAGCCCAGTGTGCACAAACCTCGGGTGACCTGTCTCTCACGGTGGGAGAGCTGGTCGACAGGTGGGCAGGGTCATAGTAGGAAGCATCTATCCCCAGAGTCCATGCCATGTGGACCATCAGGGGACGGCTGTCTCCTACTGAGCATGTGGCCTTCACTCCTTCCCTGGACACAACCCTGCTGGACCTGACATAAGCTGAGAGGGTCACACAGGGTCCAGCTTCTTGGCTCGTCAGCTAGACATGTCCAACATTTACGATGTGGTCATCTACAGAATCCATAATGGAGAACCACACAATGGACTTACCAAAAAAAAATCATAAACCCCTCATAATGTTTTGAGTAGGTTTATGATCCTGCGCTGGGCCACATTCGCGGCTGTCCTCGGCCGCATGTGAAGCTGGAGGTTGGACATTCTCATCTGACCTGTCACCCTAACTCACTAAGTCCCCTATTTCTACACCCTGTGTCATATTTTACTGTTTGAAACTCATTGCTTTTTTTCCCCCCAGATGACATAAGAATCCTGGTATTGTCGGTTTTTTCCTCTTTGCCTCCCATCTCGCTGCCTACCTGCTTGCCAGCCCTTTCCCTGAGCTGACCAACAGCAGGCCCTTCTCCAGCAGCCTCTGTGAAACCCTCTCTTCCGAACCTCTGCCTCAGGGTCTTCTGCTGGGGACTGGACCCAAGGCAGCAGAAAACTAATCCCCTGGGGACCGGACCCAAGGCAGCAAAAAACTACTCTTTTCTTCTTTGAGAGAGATTCTCATGCAGCTGAGCTTCTGACCTCCCTGCCTTCACCTGCCAGGTGCGGGGTTCACGGGTGTATGCTACCACACCCAGTTCGTGTATGCTGGGGATTGAACCTGGGGCTTCGGGCATGCCGGGCAAGCACTCTACCAACTGAGATGTATTCCCAGCCTGGAAATCTAATATTTTTGACTTGTTAATTTTAAAAACATATTTTTTTGGATGAAATGTGCACAGAGCCTTATTTATTTAGTCTCTTTCTTGGGTCCATTTTCCTTCCCTTCTGGCCATATTAAACCTTCCTAGGATTTTCTCCAAAGAGCTTGTGGAACAAATTCTCTGAAATGATAAATGTGTGAGAATAGTGCTATTACTCCATTGTGTGAAGTAATTTGATTTATGCTTGCTTTTAGATCAAAAGGCTTTTCTTTCAGAATATGCATTTCTTTATAGTTTGTGTTTTACATCCTGTTGCCATTGAGAAGCCCAGCGAAAATCTCATTCTCACCTTTCTGTAGGCGATGTGGGCTGAACTGAGTTCCTTTAAAAGGCTATGCTGAAGCTCCCCAGATCTTCTCTTTGTTGAGAATTTAATACATACATATTTGCGTTTTGACCAAATCCACCCCCTCCGTTCCCCCTCCCCTCCCTTCCCCTCCCTTCCAATTCCTCCTCTGTACCCCACACTATTCCCTCCCACTTCCATGTCTCTCCCTCCTCTTCCTCCCCACTTTCATCCCCTCCCTCCCCCTCCTTTCCCACAGAGTCCGTGTAGTGGTGCCAGTATGTGCGTGGATGGAGGGAGGCCACTGACCAGCACAGGAACAGCCTCTCGAGGGGACGGGTTGAGGTGTTAGTCTCTCGCACCCATGCAGGTGCCTTATTGGAAATAGCGCTGCTGTAGACGAGACCAGCTAAGATGAGGGAACCGTGGAGCCGTGTGTCGTGCAATAGGACTGCTGGCCAATGAGAGGCAGACTCAAGGGGACATCCAGGCGACTGTGGTGACAGAGGAGGCGTCTATCTACAAGGCAAAGACAGCTTGGGACTCCAGATGCCCTGCCTCCGGTGCTGACTGGCACCATGCCGCCCTCTATGACTTCTAGGACAGGTGGGACAGCCCACCTTCAAGCTGCCTGTTTCTGCTACTTTGTGGGTGACCCTAGGAGATGGGTATGTTGGTAATCGACTGTTCCTTCTGCAAGATTTAAAATTTCATTTCCTTCCCCTCTCTCTTCATTCACCTTTTTGTTTCTTGGAGTAGGGTTTCTCTGTAGCCCATGCTAGCCTTGAACTTGTAGTCTTCCTGCCTGTGTCTCCCAAATGCTGGGATTACAGATGTGTGTCACCACACCGAGCTAGCACACTTCTTTTCTTTAAGTATCTAATCTCAGGTGTCCTGCTGTAGCAGGAGACAAATAGACTAAGATTCCTGGTGAAGCTCACTAAAGAAGCACTGATGCCATTTAAGGTGTCCTCTGGACACACACACACACACACACACACACACACACACACACACTTCTCAGCTGCAGCACAAAATACAGTGAGGTTCAGAAACCTGCCCAGCTCCCCAGAGCCTGGGCATTCCTGAACTCTCCTGCCCCCTAGTGGAGTGGAGTTAGGAGTAATATTCATGCTGAAGGACACCACACCCTGGTGAGCAGCTTGCTCTCTGTCTGAGCAGCCAGACACAGGGGCCTCTGCAGATGTGGAATTCAGAGAAGAGGGCAGCCCTGGGCAGAGGTGTCATGCCTGGGGAGCAGGCTGTGGCTGTTTGGCTCTCCTGTGTTATTTGGTGGTTGATCAATCTCTTCAGAAGAACAGGGGCTCATTTTTCATTGACTGAGGGTACAGAGTCACCAGAAAACAAAGCATTCATTAAATGCTCACCCTTCTCGCGCGCGCGCGTGTGTGTGTGTGTGTGTGTGTGTGTGTGTGTGTGTGTGTGTGTGTGTGTGTTACAAGGTGGCCAGTTCAGCTCCTGTATTCTGGACAGGAGTGTAAACTCCTGGGAGTCTGTACCCTGAGGCACACACACCTGGTAGCTATGAGAGAGGAGAAGGAACCCATGGAAATGACTGTATGGTTGAGCCAGCCTGGCATCACTTGGAGTTGGGGTAAACTCAGATGAGCTTCCAGCATCCACGGGGACGTGATTGTCCTGCCCAAGGTGCCGTTGTCTGATTACAAAGGCCACGCCACAGCCAGCCAACCCCTGGAAGAAGCATCTGTGCCACTCTGTACCTGAGGTTACGTGTCCGTGGTGGTCTGGTATCCCTTTATCAGCTACGATGTTGATTATTAATATTATGGTTTGCTGTGGTGCTGGGATGGAAGCCAGAGCCTTGGAGATGCTGAGCACCTCCTCTCGTTTGAGTGACACCCTTAGTTTTCCGTTATTGTTGACTCTGACTCAGTGCCGTGTGCACGCTAACTGTACGCTCCGTCCTGAGCAACAGCCTCAGTCTTCTGTTCTCACTAGGAAGCTTCCCTCAGTTCAGTATGGCCACCTTGAGGGGAACTCTGCTGCCCCCGCCATTCTTCTCTAGAAGTTCAGAGCCACATGGAATGGGTTCCTGTGTCAGTGGAGCCATAAGCCCATAGCTACTTGCACCAGCACTGTATTGGGTGTTGAGGCAGTTCCCTGACCTCTGATGTAGCACATGCTAAGGCCAGGAAACCAGCCATGGCACTCCTGCCTCAGCTATGGGGACCTCAGAAAATATGGGCTTCCTGCAGCCTCGTTTCCCCCATCTTTAAAGGGACATCCTTACCTGTGCCCGGACACGGTGTGAGAATCAGAGAATGCATATGAATAATAGTGTCTGGACAGGGATGTTGTAAGGAAGGGGCTGTTGACAATACCTTGGATTCATTTCCTCTAATATTTCAGGTAATATTTTTTCCTTAAATGGAACAAAAAAATTAACTTTTTTTGTGCTGTTCTTGCTCTTTTTTCTGTTATATGTGCGTGTTGTGGACAGATGGGCAAGAAAGCTCTAGAAATCTGTGTGTGGACTGTCATTGAATAGAAGTCACTTTCTTGTGCTGAAAAATTGAAGACCAGGCCTGATGGGTAAGACAGGGGCAGGGAGACATCTCAGTCACTGGGGCACTTGCTGTGTGAATGTGGGGATCTGGGTTTGAATTTGCTCCACAGATTGTGTGTGTACATGTGTATGTACATGTCTGTGTGCAAGACACACACACACACACACACACACACACACACACACACACACACACACAGAGAGAGAGAGAGAGAGAGAGAGAGAGAGAGAGAGAGAGAGATCCAGAGGTTGATGTTGAATGTTTTCCTTAGTTACTTTGCACCTCATTTTTTTGGTAAAGGTTTATTTATTTTTATTTTATGTGTATGAGTTTGCTTGCTTACCACATGTGTCTGATGCCCGAGGAGGCCAGAGAGGGCACTGGTTTCCCTGGAACTGGAATTGTAGACAGTCATTAGCTGCCATGTGGGTTCTGGGAACTGACCTTGGGTCCTCTGCAAGGGGAGCAGCTGCTCTGAGACACCTGCAGACCGCACCCCTTAGTTTTGTGATAACAGGCTATGTCCCGGAACTCTCCAGTTTAACCAGACTGATTGGTCACCGGGCTCCAAAGAGCTGCTTACCCCCACCCCTCTGCCAGGGTTGTAGACACACACACCAACTTGCCTGGCTTTTTATGTGGGTTCTGGGGATTGAACTCAGGTCCTCATGCTTACAGAGCTGTCCTCCTGCTGGATGTCTCACCCCATCAGGCCTAGCTTTTACTTTTGCATAATAAAAAAAAAACAACTGTCCTCACCTCTGCAGGGCTTTGCTGCCCATCATGTCTGCTCCGCCCCCTTCCCCGCACAATGTCACATATGCCGACACCTGGCGTCGTCTTCCTTGCATGGTCTGCTTTTTTTTTTTTTTAAGTTTGTGTCCAGAAGGGGAGAGAATATTCTAAACAGATTAAAAACAAAACAAAAACAAAAAACCCAGCCACAGTCCTCAAGGTCCTTAATCTACTGCTCTAGCTTTCCTCTGCTGGCCTTTGCTCAGTGCCGGCTGGGCTATTGGCTTATATACACAAATTACTAACGCATGTGGGGAGTGGTGGTCATTCTCCATTCTGCCAAGACACTTCTGAGTGAAGGCTGGCTCCCGCGGCTTCTGGGAAATGGTTATTGAGTATTTAGGAATATAGCCACCTGACTGTTAAAACTAACAATGGCTTGGCATTGGCTGTGGTCAGAGTATTTGCCCCATGGAGAAGGACACAGATGCACATTGGGACTTGGATGTTCTTCTTAGGGAGTCAGTTTATCAGCATCCCGCCATCATTACCGCCTCCACCCACCCATCCTTACCAGCTTCCTTCTGGTCCTTTTCTGTGAGGCAGAGTCTTGCTATGTAACCCAGGCCTTGAACTCTGAATCCTCTGCTTCTGTCCCCAGAGTGCTAGGATTCCAAGTGTGAGCTACCACACTAAGCTTTCCATTATCTTAAGATGAGAAGAAATTCCTATCATGTAAGGAAGGCACATTGCTCAGAAGGGAAACACTCACCATCCAAAAAACAAAACAAGCAAAGCAAAACAATGCTTTTACGGGTCTTGGAATACTTTGTCTCCAAGGAGAATGGAAGAGTCACTCTGGTCAAAGTCGGGCGACCACAACGGATCAGAACGGTTGCAGGCAGGCACATAGCAGGGTCCCAGACCCATCTTCCCTCCCGACCTCACAGCTCAGCCTGGAAATACAGCTGAGAGGTAGAGAGGGTTTTGTGAGTGTGACACTGTAGGTCTGACTGTCACATGTAGATGTTCATTCGGCATGAGGAAACAGGGGCAGGGGCGGGAGATTGGGCTTCTCACTCAGGCCTGGCGCTTCTGGGAAAGAACCTGCCATCTGGGGTGATGATAGAGTACCTTCATCTCACAGCCTGGCTGGCTTCCCAGCGGGGCTTTAGCTCTGCCAACCCCAAGATTAGATGTGGGGTTTCTCAAGGAGTAGTTCATTTTTGGAGTGCTCATCGGGTTCTGAAATTTCAGCGTGCCAACGCTAAACGATTCCTTGAGGGAGAACAATTCTCCCTTCAGACGCTCCAAGGCTAGCGTGGCTGAGATTGACAGATAGGCAAAACATCGAAAAACTTGGCTTTTTTCTTCTCAAAATACATTTAACTTCAGCAAGCTGTAAGCCAAGCCCCCTCGCAGATGGCAGACAACTTAATTGCTGTGGTCAACTTGTCTGACATTTCTTGGACGGTGTAGGGTGCTGTAGTAATCCATAGAAAACAGATCTCAGCCCACACAAAGACATGCACAGAGTTTAGCATCTCCGCTTGGCTGCCTGAGCCCGTGTTCAAGGCTGCACCGTCCTTTGCCAACCAAACTCTGGGGCGACTTGCAAACACAGCCTGTATTGCTTGGCTGGAAAATCCAAGAGAGGCCCAGGACAAACTGAGTCAGCATTGTTGTTTCTTCGTGGGAGCTTTGAGAAGGTGGTGACCTCAGCTGGCTGCGATCCCTGTCATCTGTCTTCCACAGCCCTCACGTGCTCTGTGCCTCGGCACCACTTACACCCCGTGTCCTCAGGGTGGTGCTAGTTGTGTGTCGTTACACCCGGCCACCTCTCTTGACGGGCTTCTAGGCGTGATTCTCTGCTATAAAGGATATTTTTCTGAGTCAGTAATTTCTGATTCCACATAGAAGGTGTAATTTGGGGGGTGTGAGAAAACGTTCTTTTTGAACACTGCAGTGAGTCACTGAGCTCATGGCCACCTTCCCGGCAAAGTTAAAAATAAACCTCCAGAGCGTATCCATGTTTACTTCAACGATCTCTGTTTATAGTGTTTATAGTAAACATTCCGAGAACAAGCAGCAGCCAGCGGCCCATGCTTATGTGTTCTCTCTCCCCTCCCCTGCCCTTCTCTGTGTGTGTGCGCACACGTGTGTTCAGGTGAACACACGGAGGCCAGAACGCCTCAGGTTCCATCATGTTCCATCTTATTTTTTTGAGAAAGGGTCTCTCAGTGAACCTAGAGCTTGTTTTTTGCTAGCCTGGCTTGCCACGTGCTCCACAGGGATCTGCCGGTCTCCACCTCCACCCTCCCAGAGCTGGGGTTACAGACACACCTGCCTGTGCCTGGCTCTCACATGGGTGTCGGAGATGTGAATCGCAGCAAGTTACCCATGGAATGAGTCGTCTCCCTGCCCTCTCTGACAAGTCCTGGAAGTGGGTCTCTTCTGGGGTGGTGGCTGGTCCAGGGGACACTCGTGCCACCGATGATGTCAGTCCCAGTTTAGAAAGGAGTCTCTCCACCTGGAACACAGGGCAGTTGCTGGGGAGCCTGTGAGGACACAGAGCCCTGGGCCCCTTTCTCAGACGCAGCGTCTCTGGGGCCTGGGTGTCTTCATTGTGGGTGTGTATCCAATGATACCCACTGGTGATGGTTGGCGGACAGTGCGCTGTGGAATCCTGGTGCTGAGACCTGTGGCATCAAAGACAGTAGGGTGCCCATTTGCCATGTGACCTGAGGCTAGCCATACTCCCTCATAAAGTCTCCCGAGCAGAGGGCCTCCCGGGCAGAGGGTCTCCCGAGCTCGTGTCCCTGGGTCTCCCGAGCAGAGGGTCTCCCGAGCAGAGGGTCTCCCGAGCAGAGGGCCTCCCGAGCAGAGGGTCTCCCGGGCAGAGGGCCTCCCGGGCAGAGGGCCTCCCGGGCAGAGGGCCTCCCGAACAGAGGGCCTCCCGGGCAGAGGGTCTCCCCAGCTCGCGTCCCTGGGGTCTCCTTGACCAGTGTACTTGAGCACTGTGGATTTGTTCCCAAGACCGGACTGTGGTTCCCCTTTCTGGGCAGCCCTTCCCCAGATATCCAGGCCCCCACTTTCCCCCTTGGCTCTCTCTTCCCATGACATGATATTCCATGTGTATTTGAATATTGCCTGGTCTCTGTCACTACAGCCTGGGACCCAGGAGGGCAGGGCCTTTATCTTGGCCGCTCCTTGTATGCAGAACTTGGACCACAGTGCCCAGCATGAGCTGGCCCTCGCCAAGTGTTGTAAGGGTGGTAAAGAGAGAGGAGGTAGCAGAAGGCTGACTCAGCTAGGCCGGTGGTGATGGAGCCTTGGGTGTCCCACCCTCTAGAAGACAGGGGGCCTCGCCCTGCTGGCTCCATACGGGGTGGGTGTAAGCATTCTGTACGCCATCAGCAGGTGATTGCATCCCAGCCTAAAAGCCAGACATGCACACCCACGCGCTCTCTCTCTGCACTCTCTCTCTGAGTGCTCTGTCTCTCTGAGTGCTCTGTCTCTGTCTCTCGCCTTCTAATAAAGCTCTAAAAGGTATCGCTGGGTTCTGTCTTTCCACGAGGTAACCAGTGCTGCCTTATATCCCTTACAGTGGGGCCAGTGGCCTCTCCAGCAGGGGTAAGGCCCAGGTCACCACAGCAATTCTGCTTTACAGGCAAGCAGAGGGCCTTGGGAAGCAGAAACGTGTTGATGAGAATTATGAGAGCCTCAGGGAAGGCCGGGTTCTTGTCAGAATGACAGGGTGGGCTCTGGATAGGATCACCTGCTTTGTGGATTTTGAGTCTAATTTAGAAAACTTTACTAACAGCCAATTAATATACTTAAAAGACTTGGTCAGTGCAATGGAGGCCCTTCTCCCCAGGATCATTGAAATGAAGCTTAAAGAGGTTTAAAAAACTTTAAGGTCATTTTACTTATTGAACAGCTGAAAGGTGAAGTCATCTGTTACCATGGCAACAGTCTTCTGGGAAAAGCTGTAAAGATGCCAGCAGGAAGTAAATAGGCTTATAAAGTGTCCACCCAGACCCCTTCTCCTGCTGCTGCTGCCCCAGGTCTGGGGTTGACCCTGAAGTAAGTGACTCCAAGCATTTGTTGGTGTTAGTCCATGAGTAGAGTTCCTGGCACTCAGGGTTCATGGCCCTAACCCTAACCCTGGGTCTGATTTGTGAGGTGTGGGCTTCCTGAAGACAGAGATAGGAGTCCAGAGGCTCAGGCTGCACTTCCTCTTGGGATGACTTCTGACCCTGCCCTTGTAGGGAGAGCAATGCACAGCACACCCCTCTGGAGGGGAGTCGGGACTGTTGGCACGCAGAACCCAGCAGGGGAGTGGCTTCTGCTTTTCCTGGAGACCCAGGGCCTGTCTGGGACCCACGGGTGTGGTGCTGGCCTCTCACTGAGGATCAGGGACTTCACTGTATATAAGCATTTGAAGATTTCTAAGACCAGTGGAAA